CCTTCTGAGCCTCCTGCTCTCCCTCAGCTCAGCTCTAGCCATTCACTGCTATTACCTAGATGTCTCCATTTCCAGTTCTCCGTGGTAGTCGTCGATTTTTGTGTTTGAGTGACTTCAGGGGGCATGTAGGTCATTGAAATGATCACCTGAGCCAGGTGTGCTGGTGCAGGTCTTTATCCCAGCACTCAGGAGGCAGAGGCAGGCCTGGGCTACACAGAGAAACACTGTGTCAAACAACAAAACCACAACAATGGAAGTAGGAAGTTAGTGCTTGGAGGACCCAAGACAGCCTGTCACAGTGCTGTCACAGGACGGTGGGGCTGGAATTGAAAAGCACCTTATGTTCTCTGGATGGAATAGTTTTGTTCTCAAACCAGCTGGCATTTGATTGAAAACAGCACTCTGCCCAATGGCTCTGTAGAAGTACGAGCTCCACCCATAGTTCAGCTGGCTTCCACAACTGCATTTGAGATTGAGTCTTCTTTCTGTTTCTAAGAACCGCTTATCATAGCCCCGAGTGCCTGAATCATGGACAGTACCCACACCAATGTACCTCATGTACTAGCCAGCACATACATGAATGTCTCCAGTAGTTTACCATACATCCAAAGCACAGTGCACAGTGAAAGGGCAACAGTATTAAAGGAGGACAATTATAACATTATACTATAGTAAATTACTTGAAATTTGTGACTATTTCTAGAATTGATTTACTGTTTTTAGAATAGAGTTGTCCTTGAATAACTGAAATTAAAATAAACGAGCAAGCACAGATAAGGACAGATTACTAACTAGCCACACGAAGGGAGAAGGAAAAGACTGAGGCATGGTAAAGCTTGCTCTATCTAAGAACAAAATATAGTCCCAGCACTTGGACTGAGTCAGGAAGAGCATGTGTTTAGGGCCAACCTGGGCTACACAGTGAGACCCTGTCTCAAATGAGTCCAGAAACTGCCCCTTTGGCTTTCCAGAGCCAGTGTATTCTGTATTTTTGGTCCTGGGAAAGCATACTGAAGAGCAGGCTGTCTGCAGATACTGCTCAACATTTCCTAAGTCCCCTCGGTTTTCTGGGGTCTGGGTCTCCAGATGCCATTGTGACGACAGGCCTGACTGAGGAAGCAGAGGCAGACGCACATCCAGAGGGGAGTAGGTCAGGAAGGTTCCAGATGCTGGTCACCAGAACAAGAGAAACATTGAAACTTTTCTTCCTTTCTTTCTTTTTTGTTTCTTGTTACCCCAAGTTCATCAATATTTCTTTCACTGTTTGTGGTGGGGGTGGGCAGATCAGCTTCATCTTTGATTTTTTACCTGAAATTCATAGGCAGTTGTTTGAGGTTAGAAGACAGCTCTAAGGTATCTTTGTACTTTGAACTCCCTCTTCAGACTGGCATTCTGTCCTCATTCTGGCTGTCCTGCAGGTGATTGGTTGACAGTCTACTTTTATAAAAAGCAGAATTAGAGAAGTAGTTTTCTTTGTGTGTGTGTGTGTGTGTGTTAATGCATCTCAGATTTGAGAAATGTCTTTCTTATTGTCTACACTTTCTCTTGCCTCTTTCTGCTCTCTCTTAATTGGAAAGTGTTGTTATTATGGTGTTGTTAATTAGGGAAGCGGTGACTCCTCCCAGGTCAGTCAGTTCTTACTGCATGTGAAACAGTTGGCCCAGTCTTTGGGGGAGCTGAGATAGGGATGGTGGTTGAAGTGTATGTCTGTGTAATGTTACAGGTAAAAAGAAGTAGTAGTCACAGTTACCTATTCCTCATAAGCTGTTGTTTCTGTTAGAAATATCAATGCAGACAGATACAGCAAACACAAATAATTCAAAGTTGTCACCCGCCCTCCCTTGGTGAGCGTCTTCACAGGTGCATTGTGGTCACACATGCACACACCGGGTTTGCCTGCCACTTAATAGTGTGCTCTGACTGTTTCACCAGTCCGCAGTCACCTACAGAAAACCATTTCATTGCCTACACACTGAACACCAAATGTCTGAGTTTTCCACCAACCTTCCCATTGTCAGACACCTGCTAGATGCCCTATGATTTCATTTCTGAACTACTTGGTTTATTTAGTGCAGATTCCATGCGTTAAGGTCTTGGTCTGAATAGCCCCACATTTCATTCACCAGTGGTAGATTTCCACATCACCTACACGTCTGTCGAGCTGGGCTACAGATCCCTCCCCTCCTTGGTTTTAAGCAGTTTGCTTTTTCCAGTGTCTTATGATAGACACAAGAGCAGGTCTGGAAGTTCCCAGCACTGGAGTTGCCCTTGCCACAAAGGCACTGTGAGCCACTGTTCTAGCACACAGATGCATCCACCAGTCTGAATGTTCCCTGAATCTCCTTCTTAGGGGTTTTTAATGAAGATTCTATTGTGTGGGCATGGTTGATTAAATCTTTGCCCATTAGTACTTGACTTAGTCCTGATCCTCGCTCTCTTCCCAGAGGAAGATTGTACCCAGTCATTCTCCTTCTTTTCTAAATAAGCCAGTCTTAAAAACATACAAGAAAACAGAAACAAAAAGACATAGTAACAAAACACGAGATTCTTATCAATTTTCTTTATTTCTATTCATTTCTGTGGTGAATCATCAATATACAAAGTACAATGACTTAGTCAGTTATCCTAACTACATGAGGCTAGCTGTGTTTAAGAGACAGAGAACTTAAAATGTATCTAATAATGTTTGAGAGCTACATAAAATGATGCTGGGTGAGAAGTGTAGAAATTTGAGCCATGCCTCAGCCCTGCTCTTAAGCAGACTGCAGCCTGATAGGGCAGAGTGTGATCAGTGTGGTGAGTGGTGTACTCAAGTTGTGTCTACTCAGCACCATCCAGCAAATCTTCATTGCATGCAGTGGGCCAGGCACCAGGAATGTAGTGGTGAACACGGCAAGCACGCAGGAATATACTTAACAAAAGCAGCTCCCTCATCTGTAAGGTGCTGTAGGTATTTGAGACACAGAGATGTGTTATAGAAGCTCACGATAGCCTCATGGCTCTTCAGCATAGTCTGTGTCTGAGAACCTCTGCTTGTGATTCTGTTTGGCAGAAGTATCAACAGCATTTCCATTCCCTCTTGGTGTCTAAAATGTAATGAACTTCAAGGTTAAGTATTGGATTTGCTTCGGACTCAATGTGAATTAGCCCTCCAAGATCAATAAAACTCCACATTCTTTGCAAAAGCAGCAGTGCACACAGATTGGCCTGATGGTGAATTTTCAATAATCAATGCCTTGTTTTGAACACTTTGTAAGCTTAATTTAATGCCAGTTTTGAAAACAGATTAAGTCCACCTAATCCATTATGAAAGAAAAGGGAATGGTAACATTTAAGTTTTAAACAAACAAAGGTAGAATTGGGCTACAGAGATGCCTTGGTGGTCAATAGCTCATGCTGGTCTTGCCCAGGACCCAGGTTCAGTTCCCAACACCCACATTCCAAATCTCACAACCCCTGTAACTCCAGTTTGGGGGACCTTTGCCTTCTTCTGGTTGCCACAGATGTCAGATACACATTGAAATGACTAAGTAAGGCCATCCTGGTCTGACTCCATTTTGTGTTTGCTTAGACATTTCTCAGCCCTCTATCTTCTGCCCCCCACCATTCCTCTTTCTGCCTTGGCCACACATTTGAAATTGCTATGGCCTTGATGGTCCAGGTATATTAGCCAAAATAATTGGCAAGTTATGTCTAAAGTAACTACTATCCTCTGCCAGGAATGAACTTTTCAAGGTTACTCTGACCCTCATTGAATTCTGATGTATCTTTGTGGGTTTTGCCTGTAAAATGCTGTATCCCTGAGCATGAGCGTGAGCACCAAGATACTTTTCAGAGGCTCAAGCCCACCTTGGTCTGGCCATCAATGAGAAAGACTTAAACTTTCAATTTTGGATTATTCATCATGTTTATCAATAATTGTTTCATGTGAATCATTACCATATGGTGCCCATACCTACATGCAAGCACACATTATTAAAAATAAATCCTTTTTCAAATGTGAAATATATATTTATCTGAATGTGCTAATTTTTTTCTGGAGACTTTCTTGTACTGTCCTAATAACCTTTAGAGTTAATTTTAATGTTTTTCCTCATATATATGTTTTCCACATATATTTTGTCAAAAACATGTATATGTTTATAGTAAGTGCAGTTTTATTTGAGTACTGTGATTTATGCTCATTATATTTTTATAATAAATAGTCACATTTAAAAATTACATCTATAGCCGGGCGGTGGTGGCGCACGCCTTTAATCCTAGCACTTGGGAGGCAGAGGCAGGCGGATCTCTGTGAGTTCGAGGCCAGCCTGGTCTACAAAGCAAGTTCCAGGAAAGGCGCAAAGCTACATAGAGAAACCCTGTCTTGAAAAACCAAAAAAAAAAAAAAATTACATCTACTAATCCCATCACAAAGCTATTATAATTTGCTTTACAGTTGGGTAAACTAGATGAAAGGAAATTAAGTGAGTTGCGTAAGAGAGCTTTTCTTGTAACCCAAACCAAACTGTAGCCATGATCTCATAGACCCTGTTTTTGTGGCTCACAGCCTGGCCTGAGCTCTGGCATTCTGGCCTTTCCTAACCTGCCCTCAGCTACAGATGTCTGAAATCTGAGGAGAGCTGGAGGGTGCAGGGTGTGCCCTTGCTGTCTGCCAGCTTTTCAGCTGAAGTCTGTTCAGGCAGCCTCGCTGGGCCTCTGTTCCTAGCCTCCTATGTTAGGCAGTCTTGCCTGACTGTTTCTCTGAGAAGCCATTTACTGATTGTGTGATTAGCCTTGTTACCCTTATTATCACACTGTTCTATGGGGAAAAGCTAATTATATTCTTCATTTTACTTACAACATCTTTTCCCGGAAAGATAGTGACAAATAAATAAGTTTGTGAGGTGTCTAGTCTTTGAGATAGTTTCTAATTTGTCAAGTCTTAAAAGGCTGAATAGTTAATGATTGCATCATGTAATTAGTTTAATAATCAATCATATTCTTTTTTAAAATTACAGGCAGTTGCTGGGTACTTTGATATATATTTTGAGAAGAATTGCCACAACAGGGTAAGTATCATGAGTTATTCATAAGGATTAATTATGCGGAGTACTCTGTTTGATTTGTGCCCCAAGGTGTTTGATCAGAAGCATTTTGCTGTTGTAAGCAGTCACAGCTTGTATTTGATGTAGTAGATTAATGTACCATGATATTAAAAATCGTGTACTTCATCAGATACTTCTGAACTTTACCAATGCAGGTCGTGTTCTCTACGGGCCCTCAAAGCACCAAAACACACTGGAAACAGACAGTGTTTCTGCTGGAAAAACCGTTTCCAGTTAAAGCAGGTGAGTAACATTGCCTTCATTCTGGGGGAATGGTGGTCACTCATTAGAAGAACATAAGAGATGTTGAGGTAGGAGGTCTTAGAGCTGCCCACCTATGTGTGTTTAAAGTATTTTAGTATTTGATTCCAAATGTATTTTAAGGAGTGAAGAGATGGCTCAGTTGTGAATAGCATTTGCTGCTCTTCAATAGACCCAGCTTCATATTCTAGCATCCATATCTGGTGACTCACAACCACCTATAACTCCCAACACCAGGGGATCCAGTGTTCTCTTCTGGCCTCAACAGATACCCATACATACATAGTATACCAACACACACACACTCAATAAATAAGTAAGTTTAAAATAATCTATATTTTAAGAAAAGTTTCAAATTTTAAGTCTCTGGTTTGTTGCTTGTTTGTGTGTTTTTGTTTGTTTGTTTGTTTTTGTTTTTTTTACTCTGTGTTTAGGAGCTAGGGATTAAACCTATAGTTTCACACATGCTAGGCAAGCATTCAGCCATTAAGTAACATGCTCAACCCTTACGTCTAATTTTTACCTTCTAAAATAAAGAATATTATATACCTCAAAACTAGCAGATAATTCAGAAAAAAATTAAAATTTATTTTATGTATGTGATATTTTGTTTGCATGTATATATGTGTACTACATACGTGCATATGCCTGTGGAGATAAGAAGAGGCCTTTGGAGCCCCTGGAACTGGAGTTACAGATGGTTGTGAGCCACCATATGGTGCTGGGACCCAGGTCCTCTGCAAGAACAGGAAGGAAGTGTCTATGCTGAAGCTGGTTGCTTCAACTTTCTCCATATGTGTATGCAAATAGTTAAACTCATAAAACTGCATGTAAGTGGGGTATTGGAAGAGTCTTTCACCGCCTCGGTTTTTCTCATTCTGTTTGTGATTTACACACACAGCATTATTTATCTGACCCACATCTGTTAATTTTTTTTTTTTTTTTTTTTGGTTTTTCGAGACAGGGTTTCTCAGTGTAGTTTTGGTGCCTTAACTGGAGACCAAGCTGGCCTTGAACTCACAGAGATCTGCCTGCCTCTGCCTCCAAGTGCTGGGATTAAAGGCATGTGCCACCATCACCTGACCTTTGTTACTATTTTTGAGGCAAGGTTTCATTCTGGAGCCCAGGCTGGCCTCAAGCTCAGAGCAATCCTTCTGTCTCAGCTCCCTGTATGCTGGCTGCTCTACCTCTTCTTCCATGTAGCTGCCAGATTTACTTTCTCATCTTTTCTCTGCCATCATTCAGCTTATTTTCTCTTTTCTCATTTCTACAAAGCACTGTAAACATTTCTGTGACCATGTGCTGAGAGACTGTTGAAAACACACCCAGGGAAGGTGTAGGGAGAGAACATCGAGACTTGGTAGTGTCCAGCAGCAGGAGCATGAGTTCTGTTGTGATAGATGGGAATGGCTCCAGACAGGTGTTCAGACTTAGCAGGCTGCAAAGGGGTTCAACGTCAGAGATACTTAGTCTTACTTTTAAAACTGAAGAATCTGTGTTCCAGTATTAGGATTTGATGAAGCCGAGCAGGGACTGCATATCGCCATTATGCTAAGCTCTGTATCCTATTTCCTGACCCTCTGAGATGGCTTTGATTTCATGGTTGCTGCACAAATAGAGTGTAGGTGCAGATGTGGCCATTAGAGGAAAGCTGTATGTCCTGGCACCTCTCACTTCAGGTTTCAGTGCTGTCTGTGGGAATGAGACCTTGATAGTCTCTGAAGCATAGCCCAGCGGACCCAAGACTAACAGAGACGAGGACTTTGGATGCCCCTTGCTTTCATTTTTGCAGTTCCTGTTAGCCTTGCATGAAAACTTGAAAGTCTTTCTGTGGTGAGCTTGCCGTCTTAACTCTAGGATGTTAAAAGCAGCCCCCCCCCACCACCACCTCTTGTGTTTTAGACTTGAGGGAGATGGAAGGTAGCCTTTAAGCTTGCTTCTCCGGTCTCTTTTCTAATTTCAAAGGAATGCTTGATAACTGGTAAGAATCTGAAATTCTACCTACTCTTGTAGTTACCCTTAAGATGACTGGTGCATGCTTCACCTCCAGGCTTTTCCTAGTGTTATGAAGCATGTGTGTGATGCTAAGGCTGCCCTCTAGCCTCACCCACTTAACACCCTTTAATGAATAGAGGCTAGAAGTTTGTTGGAGGGCAGGGGTCTAAAGAGGACAAGCAGATGAGACAAGAGCTCTAATGCTGCATAGAAGGCTGATGAGAGAGCACATCAGCTAGGTGCACAGGGCAGACAGACAAACCCAAACACTGCAGTCCACCGTGACTCCGGCGGCTCTCAGAGGTTGCCTGAATACTGCTTTTACCAACTGTATTCCTTCAGTAGGGACTCAAGAAAGTCCATCCCTTTGTGGTGGGAATGTGTCATTCCCATTACCGGCATGCATCCAGCAAAGCTTTGAAATGAGCTTCAGGGGACTAAAGTGCAAGAAGCACCGTAAGGGAAATGATGAAACCCGCCACTCCCCGTGAAGTCCTTGATAGCAGCATTTGGTCAGATACCAAATGCAGGAAAATAGGAGCTCATAAAGACCCAGCAATGACAGGATTAGCAGAGAAGCACGTTGAAATAAGTCTATTTTCTACATGAAATGAGTATGTGAGAAGACATTACACCCAAATGTCACTCTCTAGGTGGACAGAGGTATCTTAGTGGAAGACTAAGTGAGATTAGTAGCAGGACAGATAATTAAACTTGACAGTCCATGAAAGTACTTTGAAAATGAGCTGGGCACTGGCAGATGCCTAAGGTAGAGGTATGAGTGATTAGGGTCATCCCTGCTTCATAGTGAGTTCAAAGCCAGCCTGAGCTATGTGAGACCCTGCCTTGAAAAAAAAGTATCTCTCAGGTAGATAAATAGATGGATAATAGAGTGAGAGATAGATGCTTGAGTGATAAAGATAATAGATTGATAGATATAGATGATTGGTAGATGTCAAAATGAGGGGGAGATTTAACAACAAGCATTGAGTTTCTCGCTGTGTAGGGAAATTCTGAATGCCCTGTCCTCAGTATAGTAACAGGAGTCCCTAAGAAAAGCAGGAAGAAGAGGCATAGGGCAAAAAATAGTTATGACATAATAGTCAAATTTTCTACACTTAATAATAACTGGAACCCACAAATTGAAAGTCCAGTAAGATAAACTCCCACATAAAACAAATAAATAAATCTGATCAGCAGATTGAACCAAATACCTTTATAAGGCAGACCAGAAGGAAGTACTACATAGAGAGAATGAAGAGAGAAGAGACTCAGATCCACATCAGAGGCCTGACAAGATGGCTCAGTGGGTCTGGTGCTTGCTGTCAAGCTTGACAATCTCAATTCAATCCCTGAGACCCACATGGTGGAAGGAGAGAATCAACTCACAGGTGTGGATCTCTGCATGTGCACTCACACACACACACACACACACACACACACACACACACACACACAGTGATGAACGTGTGTCCACATACACACATTAAATAAACAAATAAATAAGTAGTTTTAAAAGAAAAAATGTTTAAGACTTGTACAATAGAACTACAGAACATTACTGAGAGAACTTAAATCCTAATAAATGGAGAGGTGCACTGTGTGGTTGGTTCATTCTCTGCACCATACACAAAGGCGAACACAAACACTCAATGGATTGTAGATGCCATCTGTTTTTGTCAACAAAAACTTGTATTACATTTTATTTATTTGTATATATGGGTGCACATGTGGCAGTCAGAGGATAGCTTAGGGAGTTGGTTCTCTCAGTCCACAATGTGGGTCCCAGGGATTGAATTCAAGTCCTCACTCAGCCTTGGTGTCAATGCCTTTACCTGCTGAACCAACACCAGACCTAGACACATAAATTTAAAGGCTTTAACTATAAAGCACATGGTCAATAGATCATCTTTTGAGAGTTTTGGAGTGGCAGGCTTATGAAAGGGAATGTTGGCAAGACTCTGAATTGTATATGCCATCAAAATTTTAAACTCCCTGGTTGGACAGTTTCATCCAGATAAAATTCAGACTTTCCCAACGCTGTTTATAAAGAATTTTTGCCTTTCATCCTTACCAGCTGCACTCTTTCAGGGCCCCAAACTAACGCATGCTCCAGCTACATTTTCTGGTTGGGGGTTTTGTGGTGCTTGGGAATCAAACCCAGGGCTTCACAGATGCCTTGGCAAGCACTCTGCCTCTGAGCTGCATCTCTGCAACTCCTAGACTGGCCATTTCTTATAGCTCCTTGTCCTGTTTTCTTAAGAACTTCCTCGGGTTTAGTCAAGATAGTCTTGTACATAGCAGCAACTGGGACTTTTCTGTGTGAGTTTCACTTCAGCTCTGCTCACTTTGGGGAGTCTTACTGGTTGTCCTCAATCAATGGCTCCCTACTCTCTTCTCCAGGTCAACTTGTACATACATCTGCTGCTGCATCCCCTTAGGCTGTGCTGAGTTCTATTGGCATGAGTCTTTAGCCTCTCGATTTTATCTGTTAGTGTTAGGCATATCAATATTGCTGTGTTGAGGGACCACAGTAAGAGAGTAATCACTCGCTTAAGTCCAATTCTTCTGACACTTAGGGTGGCACAATGCCAGGGCACTTAACTCGCTGCTGCTATGTGGCCATCTTGCCAGCTCCATTGTGCTTGGGGTCCTTAATGTGTTGCTGGACTTGAACAGGTTGTTTGGATTTTATCTTGCATGGCTGAAAAGAATTTTCTGTGTGTGGTTTTATGCATGGCAGGTTTTTAGGTAGAGTTCGAGCCAAGAGTCTTCTATTTTGAAAATTATACAACATAAGAATTTTGGTATCCATCATGTAACATGCAAGCTATTTGTTTGAAGCAGGGTCTCAAGTAGCCCAATCTGGCCTTGAACTCACTGTGTACTTGAGGATAACTGAACTTCCGAGGATAACTTTTGCCTCCTCTTGAATGCTGACATTATAGGTGTGCACCACCATACACTCATGTAATACGTTTTAAGTA